ACAACCTCTATACCAGGACGTTATTTAGTTTACGGGACAAAAGAAAATGCAGCCTCAATTTACCGCATCAACTGTGAAATTCAGTAAAAATGTGAGACCTGCTCAAATCACTGTAGAAAATTCAGCTGTCAGTCCATCGTTTTAAACAGAATATGTTGAATATATCTCATATAGAAGCTGACCTTGCTTGCATATTGACTGGCTGCGGGGCCTGGTTGACCTGAAGCTTCTTTACGCCCTAGGTTTCCGTTGCTACGCAGTATCACAGGGTTACTGGCCTCGCGGCTATATGATCCGTAGCCTCCTCCACTAATGGGTCCTCCATTAAGCCGGACCTCATGCGATCCGGCTGGGTGACCCTTCGTCTGCCTGGCTGCCTCGCCACCGGACGCCACAGGAGGAAGACCGGACTTCCGATTCCCGATACAGACGACCTCGGAAGAGGAGCCTCGATTTCGCGACCAGCCAGTCTGACCGCCGGCCTGAAGTCCTGGGTGTGGTTCAGCGACCGGTCTGGAGGCGTAATTCGGCCGTGCTGGCGCCAGGGAAGTTTGTAAGCCCGCGGTTGGATATGCTTGTTGGCGTGTCCTAGACTGATAAAATGAGAAAGGCTTCATCATTATTTCACAGTATGAGGATCAAGATGATGTGTAAATACGAAGAGTAAATGGGTTTCGAAGAATCTCCTGAGATAACATTTTAGGGGAGAATATCATTTCATATAAAACTGCATAAGAAGAGATTCAAAGGTCAATCTTGCCACAAGACGATGGCTGATTCGCACTTTGCTGCAGCCGTTTGGCTTCAGTATGGCGTTCAGATTGAAGCAGTCCGCGAGATATTCCACCTTGTTTCGGGAGAAAACGGATTAAGCCTTCGTTCACCATATGATGGACCTCATTACAACTGGAACTCATTATTTTAAAAGTCTCAAGTTAGCATCAGGTCGAGAAAACTGTCAGACTCCATCTTACCTTTTATATATACTCATAACTGAAAAAGTATGGGCATAGATAGATATAGAATGGTTCTTCTGTACATTTTCGTTTTTCAGTGGTCACTATAAATGAGGTAAGATAGAGCCGAACAGTCTTCTTGATCTGATGCTAACTTGAGACTTTTATAAGAATAAGTCCCATCTCTGATGATGTACATAATATGATGAAGCAAAGCTTAGCCCATTTTCATCCGAAACGAAGGAGGATGTCCCGTTGACTGCGTCATCCTGAACGTCGTATTGAAGTCAAACGGCTGCAGTACAACGCAAATTAGCCGTCTTCTTCTGGTGAGATCGATCTTTGAATCTCTTAATCGTGCATTTTCATGAGACATGAAAGTTTCCCCAACAAGAAGATGTGGCCTCCATATTGGTAGTAGTCTCCTTAAGCTGTATTAAATCGGTTTTACCACACTTTCGTGACTTCGTCGTGCTTTCAAGGGGACCTAGATAAACACACACCTTGTTCAATGTCCTCCGGCATGGTAGTCCTGATGCTTTTCCGCGACGGCCAGTGGACTGGGTACATTCTCAAGAGAAAATGTTTGGTGCCAAGACTAGCAAGGCTATTTGACGCCTGAGAACTTACTCAATCACAAGCTAAAGGAATGTTTGTAAAGTGGAGAGAGTAAAATTATTTGTTTTACATGACCTTAACAAGGCCACAAGGTGTGGAAGATGCGCATTTGTATCTAACTTGATTCTTCGGGCAACCTGATTGTAATAATGATGATGCTCACATCAAAAAAGAGGACAGGTCTCAGGCCAATAATTCAAGTCGGTTACCAGCTCTGGAGACAGAATGCTTCTGCATGTTCGAATAAATGCCTGTTTACGATGAATCTCCTGATAGCTTTAATCGAAGGTATGAAGACCAAGATGGTGTGACCTTTTGTGTGCTCGCAGTCTTCTTTGGTTGTATAGACGTAATTTGACCTTGTTTTCTCAACTTGTTCATTTGATAGGAAGACTTAAAGGAACGCACCTTGTCCTCAGTCCATTGTATCCATAATTATATGAAGAAAAGTTGGGTTTCAAGGAATCTCTTTTTCTATAATTGTTGA